TCATCATCATTTTAGGTAAAAAAAAGATTCTGAGCAAAAACATAATGACTTATATATTTTTATCGTGACTTAAGACCTCAAGATCATTGTAATAATAGTTTAAATAACAACAAATTTGTCAGGCATATTAGTTTGATGACATTTTCAAATACTCCATTTAAGGTCCAAACCCTAAATGCTAACTAATAAAACCCAAAAGAGTAATTTATACTAATGTTAAGTCTTTATACGTTGCCACTGTCCTTAAAACCATTATCCTTTACCCATATGTCAGCAAGTTTTATAAAAATGTAAAATATAATTACATTTACAACATTCCCTTAATTTTTTATATATATATATATTTTAATAAGTCCTGGTTTGGTATATAAATACACCTGTTACACCGAATGACTATGGTACATAATTTCACCAATGTTTTGACAATTTAATTTCACAAAAATTATTCGAGACACAAAACAAATCTGTTGTTGTCATCGTCATTTAAAGGCCACTGACTATAACAAAGCAAACTATTTTAATGGACGCCTTCTTATTGTAGTTGCAAGACAGACTGACTAGAGTCTGTATGGTCTTAATACAAGCCTAGTGTTACTTAATGACAGTTTCTGATAATCTATAATTGCAGTATCACATAAATGGAAGTAGAAAATTGGTGTGTCTGTTTCTTGCTATTGTACAATTCATTACGATAATTGGTTTGATGTCCAACAGCCTGATTGTTTGCGAATTAGAGCAAAACACCTGGACTCGGGCTCAGAAATCTAACAGGACACTTATAGGTCTTTATTTTGTTGGTGGAGGAAATGAATCCCTCCAGTCTTTTTGTTGATTCGAATCAAAAGCGAAACAGGGCAAGCTCGCAAAAGCGTTTATCCTGCACAGAAGGGCTGTAAATGTTTTATTTAAAATGCCCGAGCTGAAAAATCGCAAAGGAGCACCAGTTTGTTTTGGCGTGTGTGGTTTGTTCCATTCTCCTGTGGCTGCAGACTACTGGTCTACTGCCGGTCCTTTATTGACTGAATCTCTCACTGTGAGGAGGGGAAAAAACGACTTTGTATTATAACCGTATGGAGGGGGAAAAAAAATGTTGGCAGCGGTTTTTATACAGCACACTTTTTAAAAAAGAGAGACGGTCCTGACCACAAGTCATAAACCATACTTTATTTAAACTGGCGCTCACCCATTATTTGTTCATAGGGCTTTCTGTCTCACAGAAATAATGTTCCAGCGCTTTCGGTTTTTAGGGGAGGGGCATGAGGACTTGGATAAACTGTTGCCAGGTGTTGTTGCCATGACATTCCATTATGCCATTCCATGTTGCTTTGATCGAATCAGAGGTGTGAATATTCAGAAAATATGTTTGATGATTGTCTGTGCTACTTTTCAGATCCATCAGCAATACTTTACAATAAGGTCACATTCATTAATATGAGCAATATATTGTAACACTGATCTTTGTGAATGCTATTTAATAACTAGGGTGTCTGCAGGGTCTTAAAAAGTCTTAAAATATTTAAAATTAAATTCAGTATAAGTCTTAAATTCACAGAAATAATGTATTGTAGGTCTTAAATCATTTTAATCAGGTCTTAATTTTAAAAGTTGACAAAGTTAACCAATCAGGCCCACACCCATCCAATCAACAGCAATCTCTCTAATATATATATTGAAGTTTTTTATTACAAAAGAGAGGATTTCACAACAGCTGTTTCACAACATTTTACGGCATTCGTTTAATAAAATTATCTAATCAGGAAAAGAAAAATTTCTATTAAAAACACTTACACAATTCCTCATGATAATAACAGCAATATATCCCTTAACATAATCTTCCATTTACACAAAAACTATTTACAGAAGATAGTGTGAGTGGACATAATATTTATAAATAGACATAAAACTTAAGGTTTTATAGCAGTAACACATTAGTTATGCTCCTTTCATTTGGACCTAAAGCAAACAAATATATATTTTGGATTATCCGTGTGCTTTTCTTCATAATAAATATACTTCTAACAATGTTAAACTTTTCATTTAAAAAAAGAAACATTATGTTGACAAAAGTATATACAACCAAAGTTTTCTTGTTTTGACACACTAAAATATGTGGTTAAGAAATAAATACATTTGTTTTTTTCCAATTGCATTTGATTCAACTGGGCCATTACCAAAAATCCCTAGTGTTTTGCCCCATAGTCTGAGATCTCATGCATAATGGTCTTAAAAACTTTTACATTTGACTTGATGAAACCTGCAGAAACCCTGATAACAGAAATACACTGCTCAGCTTTAGTTCATGTTATCTCAAACACATGAAGGAACATTTTCAGATGCAACATTTTTTATTATTAATCGTTGGTTATTTTATTCTGCAGATGTGTGTTTGTTCTGATAATGTATTGTTTCTTAGCACCAATTTCCAAGAGTTTTTTTTTGTTCACTCAGCCTCAGACATTTTAGGTCAGTGCAACTGATGTTTTTAAAAGTTGAGTACACGTCGGTGCCAATGGTGTAGTGGTTAGTGCATCGACACGTGGCACTCCTGTGTTCACGCTGACCTGAGTTCGATTCCCACCTCAAGGTCCTATGCTGATCCCTCCCCTGTCTCCATGCTTTCCTGTCTATACTGTCCTATCAATTAAAGGTGAAAAAAAATGTTGAGTACATGAGAAAAAACGAAAGGAAATAAGGATTGTTTTTTTTGTTTGTTTGTTTACTCAACTTCAGGCATTCCATTTCTGCAGACAAAAAATGTTCAGTTGGCACAACTTCAAAGTTTTGTACAAGAGTAGTTCACCTCTCCAGAAAACTAATTTAAAAGATCTTATTTTAACCCAACTAACTGTTTTTTGTATTACTGACAAATAATTGTAGGTCAGTGCAGCTGATGTTTTCAAAGTTGAGTGAAGAAGAAAAAATGAAAGGAAATAAGGATTATGTTTTGTTGTTGTTGTTCTACTGACTTAAATTTCTTTACAGTGCAGGATAATACAGTCAGGCTAGGAGCTAAAGAAGCACTATAGAATAGAAAATCTGGAGAAATTATTAATGTAATGCCAAAACGGTGTCCATAGCTGCCAAAAATCATCTGACTTTTGATATATGTCATAGGTGAGTTTCTCGAGTGGGAATAGCTTGAATACATTTGACAATCACGTTTTAAAGTAGGGTACCTGAGGAGATGACCACAATAAAAGTACCAAGTTCTTTGCCAGATAAATCGAAATTAAAACAATTGCGTCCTTTGATTTGAATAATGTACTAACATATTTTAAATTAAAGATATATTTTGGCCCAAAATGAAAATGTACACACTGATTACTTACCTTGAATTGGTTCCAGATCTTTACTGAAATACTATTGAAATCAGTAACTACTGGTTTGCAACATGGGCTTACATTTGTGTTCGACAGAAGAAGTGATAGAAATGATAGAAATGTATTTAACAAGTTTATTCACTCAATAAGTGTGTACTTTTTATTCATGTTTCGGTTTTTGAACATTAGAATGGTTTAAGATTATGTTTTCTGAGCAAAAAAATTATCAGTTAATAAATAATTATTAGCTAAATAATCACCATAGAATAGAAATAAGGAGAAGTTATTAATGTAATGGCAAAAAGGTGTCCAGAGCTGCAAAATCATCTGACTTTTGAAGTATGAGTTTCTCGAGTGGAAATAGCGTACATCCTTGAGACAACCACATTTTAAAGGAGGTACCTGAGGAGATGACCACAATAGAAGTATACATTTTTTGCCGGATAAACTAAGATTAAAAACCAATGCAACCTTGGATTTGAATAATTTACAAATACATTTTAGATTTAACAAATATTTTGCCCCAAAACTAAAATTTGCACACGATTACTTACCTTAAATTGGTTCCTGATCTTTACTGAAATATTATTGAAATCAGTAACTACTGGTTTGCAACATGGGCTTACATTTGTGTGCAACTGAAGAAAGAATGTTAACGTGGAGAACAAGTAAACCATGACAGAATTTTCACTTTTGGGTCAACTATCTCTTTAACATTAAGAAGATGAATTAATATTAGTCATTTTTACTTCAAGCAGTCAGCAAACAGAAGCGTATTTAACACGTTTATTCACAGAATATGTGTACATTTTTATTCCTGTGTCGTGTCAGTTTTTGTAGAATGGCTTAGGTTTATATTGTTTTCTGAGATAATAAAGATCATTGTCATTCATTTTGACCATAAGATACAGAAGACAGAAAAACAAGAATCATTCATTAAAAGACTTAATCTAAGGATAAAAAAGCAAACATTAATTGTCCATTTAAATCTTTATACAGATTTCTAATAAATAAAACATCTTGATATAATTAAAACATTAAAGCTCTTGATAAAAATACATTTTAATCTCTAAAAAAATCACTTTTTTATTCACTTTATTCTTTAAAATATTCCACACAAAAAAAGGTCAGAATAAGTATTAATAGCCATATGACTTTTTATTTTCACAAAAAATTGGAGTTACACATGAACTTAAATTTAATACTCTTTGCTTTGTATATAAGCAAACCATGACATAATTTTCACGTCTTTTAACTCTTTTAACATTAAGGTGAATTAATATTGTTGATTTTTAGTTTAAGTAGTCAACAAATAGAAATGTAATTAACAAGTTTATTCACAGAATAAGTGTAAATCTTTATTCAAGTGTCAAAATGTCTGTACATTAGAATGTGCCTGGTTTAGGTTTATATTCTTTTCTGAGCAAAAAATTAGCATTGTTCTTAGTTTTGACCTTGAGATACAGAAGACAGAAAAACAAGAATCTTTCAATAAAAACCCAATCTAAGAATAAAAAAGCAAACATTAATTTTCCATTTAAATCTTTATACAGATTTCAAATAAATAAAAACTCTAGATACACATAAAACATTAAACCACTAGATAAAATATATTTTAATCACTTTAACATGACCTTTTATTATTTTAAATAGTCCAAAAAGAAAAGATCAGAAAAAGTATTGTTTGCTTATTTGACTTTTTATTTTCACAAGAGTTAAATTTACACATAGACATGAATTTAAAACTCTTTACTTTGTATATAAGCAATCCATGACATAATTATCATGTCCTCCATCTCATTTAAGGTCATTTTTACTTTAAGTAGTCAACAAATAGAAATGTATTTAAAAAGTTTATTCACAGAATAAGTGTAAATCTTTATTCAGGTGTCAAAGTTTCTGTACATTAGATTGTGCCTGGTTTAAGTTTATATTATTTTCTGAGCAAAAAAAAAAAAGATCATTGTTGTTAATTTTGACCTTGTGATACAGAAGACAGAAAAACAATAATATTTCAATAACAGATTCAATTCAATTCAATTCAATTCAAAAGACAATGTTACTATGTTTTAGATGATAATTTCTCTACAGCTCCTTAACTCTTAAACAACCAGTAGATTATCCATGGCTGTAATAACCCAAAAATCAAACATTAATTGTCCATTTAAATGTCAAATAAATAAAACCCTCTAGATAAAAATACATTTTAATTACATTTTTAAATGTGTGATGGAAATTTCTAATACTGATGGTTTATATTGATATTATAGATTGATTAAGAATTTGTAAAAAAAAACAAATGCATTATAATCATTGGGTTATTACAGCCATGGATAATCTACTGGTTGTTTAAGAGTTAAGGAGCTGTAGAGAAATTATCATCTAAAACATAGTAACATTGTCTTTTGAGCCAATCCTTGGGATCCTTTTGCTCACAGATGGTGATAAGTAAAGCTGAAGTAAATCATCGTGATTCATTAACATGCACTGTTTTAAACACATTTTAAACTTGTTAAACTCATTCTTGATCACATTTGATGATGGTTGATGATCACAGAGAGCTGAACAGATCTTTTAGTCCCAGTTGCTTTGCACACGTCCTGTCTTGTTGATATGATTATACGCATTAATATGAAAACATGTTAACACGTGGCTGTCAATCAATTCAGTGGGCAGGGAAACTGCACTCCTACATTACGTTGCGGTTGGCCTAAAAATGGGAGGGATTTGGATCCTTTTTTTAACATCAGGAACGTCATAATATTGTCTTAATATTACTTAATATGACTGTGGACACACTATAGCTTCTGTCCAAACAGCTTTAAAAAGATGATTTTCATCATAGGTGCCCTTTAAAATGTACACTTTGTGAACAGAAAATAATTTGCCATTACATATGATCTTTTATTCTTGTAAATATTCCAAAAAGAAAAGGTTTGAATAAGTATTTAACATTTTTAACTTGTTATTTTCACAAAAGTTACTTAAAACATCAAGGTTGAATTTAGACACAAACGTAATGAACTTAATATGCTTTTATTTGTATGTAAAATTATTTAATTCTGATTCATAAACTTAAATGCTTGAGAATTGACAGAATTTGTAGCTTAAGAATTCAAATATTTAACTTATCAGTCAAAAAACAAGGCGCAAGTGAAATTCCTCTGCATCCACATTAGCAGCATCATCGAAAACCTGGCAACAGTTGCCATTAGTAACACCAGTGAACTCCACCCCTTTTCTCTTCTCGTGCAGAGAGAAGACAAGTCCATCACGTAATGCTGTTTGTTAAAGCTCTCCAACTCGGAGCGCTGGCCCGAACGACCCTCTCCTGACAGCTTCCTCATTACCTTTTAATGTATTCATGCATATTCCTCCTCGCTGGTAAGGCCGTCTTGTGTAATGAGAGGAAACAGCGAGCCGCTCTGTGCTTGGGATCACGCAATCCTCCCTTCATTTCGATTAACAAAACAAGTTGCGGACGGCAGGATCTCCAGGGTATCGGCAGCTGAATTTCCTGCAATATGACAGAGAGAATATTGGCGCGTCAGTGGGACACCTCAGCGACTCTGGGAGACGCTATCATTATGTGTGTTGGCAATCACCAGAGCTGAATTTTGTGGCGGAAAATGAGGGAGGCCATGTCAGCCTTGCTAGCGTGTTGTGAGTGGCCTGAAATGCATCCGCTATGAGAGTGGCATTCTGTTTACCGCAGCAGGGGGCAAACATGAGAGCCTGGGCATCGATGGTGAAATGAACAAAATACATACATTACAACTTCAGCGCTCTTCCTTCTGGAAACATAAAAGAAGCTGATTTCAATATAAATAGAACGGAGAGCGTGTCTTTACATCTACTTTGATTGTCACTTTTCAAGCCGTAAAATACCCAGAGGCCTTTCCGTGGCCCCGCTCGCATGTCAATGCTAATTTTCCCCCGTGTTGCCAAGGGAAACACATTGGGGAGCCTTGATTTTTCCTACTCCGGTCATCGAGCCGGCGTCTTTTCTTCTCAGACAGCTCGCCTGAAATATCTCTCGATGTTGGACAATCAAAAACAGGAGAACATCTCGAATCAGCTTCTCGGAATCAACAATGATGTACAGTATTCATTTTGGCTGATAAAAAGCATCCCGCTGTGTCTTTCTGGAGAGGTAATTTCTCAGAGTGCCCGTATTGTGAGCGAGAGCCCATTGTGATACTTACACAAATTCGAGCGAATCAGTCTCACAGTTTTGATAGGAGTGACATCGGTCCGTTTAAGAACTCAGGAGGGCGTAATCTGAAAAAGGCTAATTCAATACAAGTTGCCAGACAGCCACTTTGGGGTACCAGATATTTGGAGCTGCTGTCAGATGCATACAGCTGTTTGCTAGTCTGTAAATGACCCGTCTCAGTCTCTCTGGCCTGTCTCTGACTGACACATTGTGCTGGATAACTGCCGGTGCCGCATCTCGTCCAGCATGTGGTTACGTCCTCAGCTACTGCACTCACCTATTCAGAGGTTACTACGGGTCAGGATTTCAGTGGCGTAGTTTCGCTCATTCTCCTTTTGTTTGCTGTCTCTCAAAAGACGTTGGTTTTGGTCTGGAGATGTTGTTTTTAGAGATTCAGCAATGCTAGTTTCTCTTCTAAACATTGTCTGCAAGTATTGTATGTAAATATCACCGTGATGGGAAACTTGGAGATTTGTGTGTGCAGCTGCACAATGCAAATGGATATAATTATATATTTGAATTGGAGAGATAGCAGAGCTGATGAGAAAAGCAGTGGGGGTCCAAAACTCTGAGAACAACAGGGGAAATTTCTTCTTTAATGCAACATTTTTAATTGCTTATTATATTGTCAGCATAAAGGAAATTGTGTCTTTTGTGCAAAGTTGTTAGTAGCGAGATGCAAGTCTTAAATATAGATCTGTTTTTATGATGTATCTTTTTTTAAATCCCAAAGTTTTATGATTTAAACATAAATAATAAATAACATAAACAGTGGCGCAGTGGGTAGCACAATCGCCTCACAGCAAGAAGGATATTGGTCCGAGCCCCGGCTGAGTCAGTTGGCATTTCTGTGTGGAGTTTGCATGTTCTCCCTGTGTTGGCGTGGGTTTCCTCCGGGTGCTCCGGTTTCCCCCACAGTCCAAAAACATGGGGTACAGGTGAAATGGGTAAGCTGAATTGTCCGTATAGTGTATGTGTGTGAATGGATGTTTCCCAGTGATGGGTTGCAGCTGGAATGGCATCCGCTGCATAAAATATGCAGATTAATAAAAGGACTAAGCCGAAAAGAAAATTAATGAATGAGTAACATTAATAAATGAATAAAAATATTAAAAGATCTTTAATTTGTCAGATTTAACCCTTTAACTAACCCACAAAGAATAAAATGATTGGATTGCATTTCTTAACTCTTAATGTCGCTAGTTAACACACTCTGTGATTTTTTTTTCAGCACATCACATACTTTCTAAAATATCAATCTCTACCAAATGGAAGATGTGTTGGTTTATGGTATGAGTACCAAAGTTAATGCTATAAAAATTTTAAAATATGTTGTGTAAGACCAATTTATTAAAAAAACATTCAAAATAAAACATTTTTGAACACTAAATCATCTTTATTTTTTGAAGTATGCTGTAAAATATTTCAGTTTCTCATTTAACATGTTTTTTCGTTTTTTTTTTTTTTTACAATAAAACCAAAATCAAGTGTAGTAGTGCAAAAGGATTATGTTTGATATATATATTTTTTTGTAAACCAACAATGCAATGTTATTCTTTAAATGACTTTAACAGTTATCATTTAAAACAGTAAAAACATCGTAAACTGTTTGGTAGAGCAGGCAGTCATTAAGGAACTCGCTTTAGATGTGATTTTCATTCTATTTAATTGATTTTTAAAACGTAGACTTTAATGCATAATTTAAATGTTATCTTTTATATAATGGTGTGATTAGTAAATCATCTTTCCTTTTTCTTCATCTTAAATTTCCAATTTAATAGCAATGGATCACAAAGGCTCAATCCCAATTCTACTACCTTACTCTTGCCCCTACCTCTTGTTTTGGGCCTTCATGTGAAGGCGTAGGAGTATCCCAATTCTCTTTAGCTTGAAGGTGTAGGGCTACGGGGAAGGGCTATATAGCCCTTGAAACAGAGATTTTTCAGGACCATACTCAAAACCAAGGGGTTCAAAAATTTCCCAGAATACACCATCTACAATGGGAGCATGGCTGCACACGGAAGTCAGGAGATGCACAAATTAGTATTTTTTTTGTCATCATTACAAATTCATTAAAGTAGCTCATACTGGCATAATATTCATACTGGCATTTGTGTTTTCTGTCATGCTTTAAAAAAAAACAATAAAAAAGCTGAATTTCACAATCTATGATCCATAATATTAGCTCCTGTATAGCAGTCCCAAAACATACAGTACCTACACATCTGACACTCGAATACCCTGTCAGAAAATGCTGGTGACCAGGAATGAGCTTTTACAGTGTCTGCTATAATGTTAATATTACTTTGTGTGTTTACATGGATGAATATGGCCACAGTGTAAATGCCCATTACAGTTACGATCTTATTGCCTCATTATATTGTTATGATAACATAATATATGCCATCAGTAATTTCCTGAAGATAAATGCCAAAAAATAACGCAACTGACATAACTACAGCAGTCGCGATCGTCTGATCTCATATGAAGCAAAAGATTGTGATGACATATGATAGCATGTGCAGGTGCTGTAGTGGTGTCCGTTTTCTTAGGGGTAAATTTTGAAGCCCTTCCTCTTCATACTCTGTTTCAAGGGGAAGGGGAAGGAGTTGGGGTACAAAAATAGAATTGGGATTGGGCCAAAGTCGATTAATCAATACAAAAATGACAAAAGACCCAGACTTTGTATAAGATGTCATTTATATTTATTTATGCAAAAACAATTGTGTATTTATTAATTTTTACAGAATTTTAAAAATCCTAAACTCTCAAATTTCAATGCTAAAACCAAAGAAGATAAATACATATATAATTTTCCTTTGTTAAAAGCTTAGATTCTACATTGTTTTCAACATGCAGCTTATCGAATGCAAACAACGTAAATAAGGTGGCTGAACTGAGAGGGCAGAGCGAGCAAGGAAAGACCAAAATGACAGGGAGTTTAGTGCCGAATCCTTTTAGTCGACCACTGACACATGAATGAGGGGAGAGTGAGAGAAAGAGAGAAAAAAGTAGACAGCCAATTTGGGAGTAATGCAACTAAAAACAGACAAGTGTAATTTCATCCATCTGGACAGATGTGTAAAAGCGCTCCTCAGAACATTCCCCATGATTCCCCCTGATTGATCTTCCCCCGGACTGAAACACCTATTATTAGCCACGAGCCTAATAGCACCAGGATGGCTTGCTGCTCTCCCAGAGGCCAATTCTCTGGTCATATCTCACTCACTGCAGCTGGAGAAACCCAACAGAGAGAAAGAGAGAGAGAGAGAGAGAGAGATGGACGACAGGATGTGTGGATGAAGTCCTTCATAGTCTGTCAATAGAATTCTGCGGCAGACGTGTCGAGAAAAACAATTACATTCATGCAGGTTTTCATTGTTGTGGAGCATTCATACTCCCACCTGATTATATGCAGTGAGGTGATGCATATGTGCGATGTGGAAACAAAACTATAGAACTGCTTGTGCACAATCATTCAAGCTAAATATTCAAATGACTTCATTATTTACTGATTCCCAGAGATAAACATGAAAGAGTATTTTTAGCTAAAACTACAGTCCATTGTGACTTATATGATAGATATCAGCATTTATGTACACTGTAAAAAGTGATTACCTCAGAAAAAGAAGTAAACCCATTACCTTTAATGTAACAAATTGATCTTGATAAAATTTAAGTAATTACATTTTTAAATATCTTTGCACATAGTTCATCAACTTAATAATTTTAAGTCAATGGATTTACTCCATTCTTTAAAGTCAACTAATCACCTTTACTATAGGTAGTGGCTGGGCGATTTGGTCTAAAATCACAATCTCAATTAATTAAACATTTTAACTTGATTACGATTAAAGAATGATTATTTTATTTATTTATTTTATGTGTTTGCACTCATAGTTTACTGATAAGTTTTGTACAGTAAATATGTTTACATATTTCAGTCAGAGATTTTTAATGTAGGTTGCATTGCTCGAGTTTAAAATAATTTATTATTAAATTAAAATGCACATTGCCTAAAACTGCTTGCGCTACATATTGTTGTGACATGTACTGTAGCAAAGACTATAGACCAGGGGTCACCAATCTCGGTCCGGGAGGGCCGGTGTCCCTGCAGGGTTTAGCTCCAACTTGCTTCAACACACCTGCCTGGATGTTTCAAGTATACCTAGTAAGACCTTGATTAGCTTGTTCAGGTGTGTTTGATTAGGGTTGGGGCTAAAATCTGCAGGACACCGGCCCTCCAGGAACAAGTTTGGTGACCACTGCTATAGACAAAGAGCATAGAAGCACCAAGAGGC